AATCAAGTTTAAGATTTCTCTTTAAAATAAGACAGATTCAGTTAGGTGACTAATCATACCTAAATAAAAAAATTGGTGACAACTCTTAAAGTTTATGTCTAGCAATAAGCTCACAGATTTATATGTTGTGATAATTTTTTCAAAAACTCTTTCTTTTCCTTTTTTTTTATTGGTTTTCTTTTGAACAGCTCCTTTTTTCCTACTGTTTTTGCTTGCCAAAAACCTTTTTTTTTTATTATTTTAGTTTCCTCTTATTCTTCAACTAGCTCCCAAATTATTCTTTTTTATTGAATCTTTTTTTTTTTTTTTGCATTCCTCTCTAGAATCAAGAAGTCCCTCATTCTTGTTTTCAACTTTCCTTTTATAATGCCTTATATTTCTTTCTCTCCAAGCTCTTTACTTTGTTTTTTTCCTCACCTGTAACCAACCATTGATTTTGTTGTTTGCCACTAACCTCATTATTTTTCATTTCATGTTTCCCACTCATTCTCTTTTGTAGCAAACCAACTTATTTTTAGCTGGATGTCTCACTAGTACATGCATGCCTATACATTCACGTGAAGGTAGTAAAATGGTCTCCTTTCATCTTTCATGTAAATTCCCTCATAAAAAGTTGTCAAATGGATTTTTACGGGTTTTTTTCCTTGTTTGGTTTGGGGCTTTCTCCAAAATCAATGGACTTTTGCTTGGGCTCCTCATATAAGGGCCATATTTAGGTTGAAAAAGCTTTGATCTATAAATGGGCTACAATTGGGCCATGTAATGGGTTGTATTTGGGCCTTCCTTTGGGTTACAAATGGACCATGTAATGAGCTGTATTTAGGCATTCCTTTTGGGCTAGAGATGAGCCAATTTGGGCATTTAAAATGGGTATCTATTGGGCTTTTTTTTTTTAGGTTGCAAGTCCTTAATTAGGCCTTTAAACTTAAACTCAAAATTGATTCAATAATTAAATGAAATTAAATTTGAGTTCATGCAAAAATGATTCAAAAATCACTAATTTGAAACAAAGCCTAATCAAGCTCAATTCGATAAATTTAACTCAAATTGAAACATTTAAATCAAGTACAAAAATTAAACAAATTCAAATTGATCCAGACAAAATTGAATGTTTACATGTCACGCAACACTCACTAAATTAGAATTTTTTTATGTTTTTTATTTATCTTTTTTTAATGGGTCATGTAAATCAATTTACTCTTATTCTAGTAGAATTTTCATGCTTTTTCTTCTATCTTGTCTTTTTTGGGGTTCTATGACTCGATTTTCAACTAATATATTGTTATGTGATTTGAGATTACATTATTAATGGGATTAAGGCTGGGTAATCAAAAATTGTACGTGGTGTGTAAATTTAGTTTTTGACGAACCTATCTCCACAACTTTTGTTTGCATTATTGAAACATAGTTTATGTTTTACTTTGTAATATGTTGCTTTGGTTGGCACTAATTATTTTTATTTTATTTCTTGTATTTATGGGACATGTTGTAATTTAAGAAAATGGCTTCGATAGACTGTAGTTTGCATTTGCATGTGGGAGGCAATTTTGTTCATAATCGTGAATTAGCTTATGTGGGAAATTAATCCTGATGTGTTGTCATGTAATATATTATTTAGGTTGATTAAAGATGTTGGTTATGCCAATGTTAGAAAGTTATACTACCTTATAATAGGGTAGGTTGGATCATGAACCAAGGGAAAGCTATGATAATATGTCATATTTATTGATGATAGAACAGATGAGGTAGGTACGAGAGATTTATGTGTATGTACTCCATGGTGTTGACATAGCTAATATTGAAGATCCTATGGAGTTTTGCCTAATGTTATTGAAGTTCAAAACCATGATGATGACTTAATGGTGAATACTTATAATGTGGTAAACTCAAATATAGAAAATGGTGAAACCAATCAATGCAACTAAGGTAGATGGTCTAAATAATGATAATGAGGTTGGTGGACCATTAAATGAAGGTAATTTATAACTTTGGTGAGAATCTAGCAAATTAGGATAATCTTTGTGGGTCTCATGACTTAAATAAAGATAGTGAAATTTAATTTGAAAATGCAACGGTGGAAGAGAGTCTGATAAGAAGTGCATAGGTAAAGACTGAGGTGAGTGATGATGAAAAAGGATTTTGTGATACTGATTATGAGTTTGTTAAAGTGCCATAGTTAACAAACAATGAAAATGAAGAAATACAAGAAATTGGGAGAAAACTAAAATATCTCAATGAAATGAAGCAAGGTAAGGTTGTGGGGCTTAATGATGTACTTGATGAACTTAATTTTGATGATCTATTGAAGGAGATAGAAGACAGAAAAAAAGAACAAAACAATTAGATCAAAAGGGGTTCAAAAATCATATACAAAAGGAAAGGAAAAGTTATGTGGTGCATCTCCTTAAAAACAATTGAAAGATGATGAACTAGAGGAAACTCCTAGCTTTTTGAAGGTACATTTGGGCTACTAGTAGATATGTTTTGAAATGTGCAATGTGTATTCATATATTTTTGCTGTTTTATACTTGAACAATTTATAAGATCTTAGAGATGAATTATTGAGAAGGAAGTGACAAAGGATTGAAGGACAAAGAGGAACTAACATTTAGACACTTTATCTGATTTTTTATACACTTGGGAGGACAGAAGTGGAAAGAAAAAAGGTACCGAAAGCACTAAATAGAGCAAAAATTGCAAGAACAATACTCCAAACAGAAGAAATGGTGCAGCTTTAAGAAAGTGATGTGATTTTATGTTTAATGCATTGGCTTCAAAACTTATTCTCAAACCTTAAGTTTTGTGATTCTTTTTTGTTGACAATTAATGATTGGTTGGCTTGTTTGGTATTTGGTGACTTGGTTTTTGTTGACTGTGAATTTATCGGTATTTGCCGAATGGATGGATATAATTTGTGAAAATTTTACTTTTATTAATCTAATGTATAAATACTTTTCCTATAATAAACATCTTCGTACTTATAAAATATATATATATATATATATTTAAACATGATCTATGTCTTTCAATGTTTACTTTTCAAAATTTCTAATTTTCTTTTAAGAGTAAAACATGATTCATGTTTATTAAAGTTACAATGTAACAAGTACATTAACTTGCTTTCAAATACCTACAGAATGTTAATATTTCGGCTTTGCAAAAATACTACACATTTAAGGTCTCCCAACCAGTAGCTCTTTCTCCAGATTTTTTTATGACTAAAAAACTACCTATTGGAGACAGGAGCATGCAAGCAAAAACTCTGTAATTCCATACACTTATCTTATAGCTATTGAAATGTAAAAGTTGTGGCAACTGATATTTTTCCCTTTTAATGCAGGGAAGACATATCTACAGATAGGGATTAATAAAGAGGGAACATGTTATCCAATAACATCTAGTAGTGCCTTCACATTTTAAGGGTTCAACCACCTCGGAATCTGACAATGATCCCATAAATGGTGCATTAGTCCTTTCGTTCAGTTGATGGTGTGCAGCTTGAGAATGGTTGTTTGTAGAAAATCTACAGTGTTATAATCAAACAATCACATCTAATATTAAAAAGAAACCAAAATTTGACCAAGAATACAACACACAAAAGCCACAATTCTGACAATTTTTTAAACTACCAAATTTCAAATAATTTCTCCCTAAAGTTTCAACTCCCATAATTGTGACATTTTAATATTATATCGAAAAATTTTAAAAATTTATTATAATATAAATAAAAATTAAAATTTATGAGACGTTTGTTATAAAATAAAATTACAAAATAAAATTATTAGATTTTTAAATTTAAAATAAATAATACTTTATAAATTGTGTGTAAATCTTCATAATAACACTCGTACTAACGTCATTAATTTAATATTTTCTCATAAAAAAAATAAAAAATGCATCCTTCCAAACATTAATTGTAAAAAATCAAAACGAAAAAACTCGTTCTTTCTTAATCTTTAAATGAATACTTTCAGAAATTTTCAAGACAATCCTCAAATTCGCTAGTATTCGTACTAGAAACTTTATCATGTGGCTGTGCTTTCAAAATTTCATAAGTGGCTTTGCTTTCATTACGAATTCTATCAAGTTAACATTACTAAAAACAACTTACATTTCTAGACAAGGTATCTTTACATGTCATGGAGTGGCTTTCCTTACCAAACTCATCGTAGTTCTTAATCACAAAACTGTTACTATTTTTACACTTAAGCACCCTACATTTTCTGGATCAGATTCTTTAAAATCTGTTAACCTTCTTGATTGAAAAAATCATATTTCTTGTCAAATCAAAGAAAATAAATTACATCCAAAGCTGAAATTAAAAAAAAAAAAAGACTCTAGAAGAATGTAAGAATAAAAAAATACAAATGTTTTACCATTCAAACTTTATTATTATTCAAATCTCTTATTTGATGCTTCAAAATACTAATGTTTCTATATATTTTGAATTGGAAATTTTTATCGAGCAATTTTTTTATTGATACTGGGGATTTCAATCAAGGGTTTATCTTGTTTGAAATTGGGCATTTCATTGGGGATTTCTTTAGTTTTTTTTTTTTTTTTAAGATGTCAATTGTGATTTTTTAGAAAGTTTATATTTTGAGACATTATTTCCTAACAAAATAATAAAATAAGAAAGAAAAATGTAGCTATAAAAACTTCATAGCAATAAAATTCTTGTTCAAACATATAAATATCAAGTGGTATTTATATGAAATTTTTATGTGATAATAAATAATTTTTTAAGTAACATATAGTAAATATGTGAGTGTGAAATTATTGGTTATGTTATATAGATAGATTTAATGAACCGTATTAATGTATGGATTAAAAGTTTACGTCCTTCGAAAATTCAATGAGTGATTTATATATTTTATTTTTTAAATATTAAATTGTACAATTTTTTAAACTCCGATACCAAAACTATAATTAACTAAAATAATGGAGTTTTGACTTTTGAGTGATATGGGATTCAATTGATTGATCTTCTTACCTACCTCATAATTGAAAGATCTTCGTAATTGATGGAAGATATAAAAAATTCAAATTGAAAGTGACAGATCATTTCACACTTCTAACTTAATGCTTCCTACAAAATTATTCATCTCTACTTCATTGCTGCCAAAAATTGAGCTATGTCTTTAGTCGGAGAGAGTGCCTTATCTGCTTTCTTTGATGTCTTGTTTGCCAAGTTGGCCCCTTCTGATTCCCTCCTTTTTGGTACTGAAAAGCAGGTCCATAAGGAGCTCAAGAAGTGGGAAATGATACTGAGAAATATCCAGGCTGTGCTTGATGATGCAGAGGAGAAGCAAATGAAGGATAAGCAGGTGAAGATATGGTTGGGGGAGCTCCAAGACTTGGGTTATGATGCGGATGACATCTTAGATGAGTTCGCGACTGAGGCCTTGGGAAAAAAGTCAACGCAAGATCGTCAAGCAAACAGAAGTAAGGTACGGAAGATCATTCATACCTTTACTACCAATTTCAGTCCAAATGCTTTCTTGTTTAGTTATAAGATGATGTCGAAGATGAAAGCTATTACTGTTAGACTGCAAGAGTTAGTTGCAGAAAAAAGTTACTTGCAATTAAGAGAGAATGATGTTGGTAGGCCTAAGATAATAATAGAAAGGCCACCAACTACTTCTTTGGTGAATGAAGCTCTGGTCTATGGGAGAGAAGACGACAAAAAGGCAATAATTGATTTGCTTTTACCGAATGATAGTATTGATGGTGAAGTTTCTGTGATCCCTATTGTTGGAATTGGAGGGATTGGTAAGACAACTCTTGCTCAACTAGTTTACAATGATGATAGCATAAAGGATCATTTTGATATCAAAGCATGGGTGTGTGTTTCAGAAGATTTTGATATCATTAGAATAACAAAAACAATTTTGCAGTCCGTCACTTCTGAGGCATGCAATGAAGTAAATGATCTGAATTTGCTCCAAGTCAAATTGAAGGAGAAGCTGTCTAAAAAGAATTTTCTGCTTGTTTTGGATGATATTTGGAATGTCAGCTACAATGATTGGACCATTCTTCAGTCTCCTTTTGAAGTAGGGGCTCCAAGAAGCAAAATAATTGTGACAACACGCAATCAAAATGTTTCATCAGTTATGAGAACTGTTCCAGATTACTCTTTAAAGAAATTGTCAAATGATGATTGTCTCTTCATTTTAACTCAACATTCCTTAAGAGCAAAAGATTTCAGTGGCCATTCAGATTTAAAAGAAATTGGAGAACAGATTGTGAAAAAGTGTAATGGCCTGCCCTTAGCAGCTAAAACCATTGGAGGCTTGCTACGCACTAGAGTAAATCCTGATGCATGGAAAGATGTATTGGAGAATGAGATATGGAATTCACCGGAAGAGAAAAGTGGCATAATTCCAGCTCTATGGTTGAGCTACTATCATCTTCCACCACATCTAAAGCAATGTTTTTGGTATTGTTCCATACTACCTAAAGACTATGAATTTGGGGAGGAGGAAGTAGTGTTGTTATGGATGGCGGATGGCTTGTTGCAACAAGCAAATGGTACTAAAAGGCAAATTGAAAAATTAGGTAGCATGTACTTTCAAGATCTTGTGTCAAGGTCATTTTTTCAAATATCTAGCAGAAATAAATCTCGATTTGTAATGCATGACCTCATCAATGATCTAGCTCGATTAGCTGCAGGAGAAATATGCTTTAGAGCAGAGGATGATAAGCAACTGAAAATTTCAAGCCGTGCTCGCTACTCATCCTACATTGGTAATAGGTATAATGGACTTAAAATGTTTGATATGTTTTATGAAGCAAAGCATTTACGAACATTCCTGCCGTTTATGTTGCTAAAAGATGGAGACTGCTTTCTAACAAACAATGTTCTTATTGATTTGTTGCCGAAGTTGAGATGCTTAAGAGCGCTTTCTTTGGAAGGGTTCCACATTTCTGAGCTACCAAATTCTATTGGAGATTTGAGACATATCCGCTACCTTAACTTTTCTTATACTAAAATCAAAAGCCTGCCTGATTCTATATGTACTCTCTTCAACTTACAAACCTTGTTGTTGAGAGGCTGTGATCGTCTTAAACAGTTACCTTTGAATTTGAGATTTTTAACCAACCTACGACATCTTGATATTGCTGATGCAAATTCAATCAAAGGATGCCTTTTGGAATTGGTGAATTAATTGATCTCCAGGCACTATCCAATTTTGTTGTAGCCCAAGGTGTTGGATATCAAATAAGAGAGCTGAAGAATTTATCTGATCTCAAAGGTCAACTTTCTATTTCAGGATTGGAAAATCTTGTCAATGCTCAAGATGCCTTGGAGGCTAGCTTGTTTGATAAGTCTAGCCTTGATGATCTAGAAATGAAGTGGAGTGCAGACTTGAAAGATAGTTTAGGAAAGGCAGGAGTAGAACTGGAGGTTTTGAGCTTGCTTCAACCTCATAAGAAACTTAGGAAACTCTCCATCAAGAGTTATGGTGGTTTGACATTCCCATCTTGGGTAGGAGATCCTTCATTCAAAAATTTAATATTCTTAAATTTTGAATATTGCCAAAAGTGTAATTCACTCCCATCAATTGGAAAACTACCATTTCTGAAGGCCCTCTATATCAAAGGAATGAGTTATGTCAATAGGGTGGGTGTTGAGTTCTATGGAGAGAATTGCTTGAATGCATTTCCATCATTAGAGATTCTTCATTTTGAAGAAATGCCTGAGTTGAAGGAGTGGAATCCTTGCCATGTTGATGAGAAAACCAGAAACTTCAATTGCCTCCGTGAACTTTCTGTCAAGAAATGCCCCAAACTGTTGGGAAGCTTACCAAGTAATCTGCCTTGCTTGGAAAAACTAGTGATTCATGACTGTCAACTATTGCTTGTTTCAGTTCCAAACTCTTCCAGGTTGTGTGAACTAGAAATTGTTGGGTGCAAAGAAGTGATTCATCAGAGTTCTCTTGATTTTTTCTCATTAAAAAAAGTCTCTCTCTTAAACATCACAAATTTAACAAGGGAATTGTTGTTAGGCTTAACAAAAGCTGAACTTCTTCGAATTGGAGGTTGTGGAGAGCTTACTTCTTTGTGGCAGAACACAGGAGGATGGTTAGCACAGTCAAAGTGCCTCCGTAACTTGGAAATTTTGAGCTGTCCTCAACTTGTTTCAATGGAGATTGGAGAGGAAAAAGAAGAGTTGGTGCAAATAGAAACCCTTAGCAATCTTGAATACCTAAGAATAAAGCATTGTGAAAGACTAGAGAAGTTATCAACAACTGTGTACAACCTTACATCCCTTAGGGAGCTGGAGATCGTAAAATGTCCAAAATTGGTGTCATTTTCGCATAATAACTTGCCTCCTACTCTAACAGGGTTGGTGGTAAAAAATTGTAAGAATTTACTTTGTTTATTGGAGGAAGAGAGTATTCAGATCAGCAGCACATCTCTACTTAACCATCTGATAATTGAACGATGTCCGTCTCTAATATCTTTATCATCAAGAGGTGAGTTACCTGTTAGGCTTCAACGTCTCAAGATTTGGAGTTGCTCAAAGTTGGTCAATTTATCATCAAGTGGCCGGCTACCTGTGGGGCTTAAACACCTGAGGATTGACCTTTGCCAGATGCTGGATTCCATTGCACATTCAGTTCACAATAACACTTGCCTTGAATTCATTTTCATTGGCAGGTGTGAAAAGATTCAGTATTTACCTGATGGACTGGACAAGCTCACCCATCTTCAGCAGATTCAAATAGAATGTTCTCGGAATCTGGCTTCGATTCCCAGGTTGCCCTCCACCAGCTTGAGAGTATTGCGCCTAAGTTGGTGTAGGAAACTCCTAGCTCTGCCCAATGGCATGCACATCCTTACTTCTCTTCAGGAATTGGAGATATCAAATTGTCCTTGTTGTTATCCTTTCCAGAAGAAGGTTTTCCAACCAACTTAACTTCGCTTACAATCTCAAAACCTGAAATTCTCGAAGGACTAATTACTTGGGGATTGCATAAACTCACTTCTCTTAAAAGACTCACCATTAGAGGAGGGTACTTAGATGGGGTGTCGTTTCCGCATGAAGAGAAAGGAATGATGTTGCCTTCTTCTCTAAGCAAACTTGCCATCAGTGATTTCCCAAATGTGGAAATCCTGTCATCAAAGGGCTTTCAAAACCTTCATTCTCTTGAATGTTTGTGCATTGTTAACTTTCCAAAGCTCAAATCTTTTCCCAGAAAGGACATGCTTCTCTCACTTTTGGAGTTATATATTCATAACTGCCCATTGCTAAAACAAAGGTGCCAAAGGGATGAAGGACGAGACTGGTCTAACATTGCTCACATACCTTATGTTCAGATTGATAATAAATTCGTCTATGATTCAGAGGAAGAGAAAGAGGAAAATGATTCAGATGAGTAAAACTGAAGGGAGAAAATCAAAGAATGCAAGTCTCAGGTACAGCCAATTTTATGGAATGTCATTTACTACAACTAATTTCTAATTTCAAATACAGACTTACTTACATTTGCAATGTAGAAATATATACAATAAGTTTTGGGTTTTCCAACCTTCTGTTGATAAATGTTGTGTGCTTTATTTTGATTCTGGCATTTATAGAAGTTTTTCGTCATTTGTATTTGTTTCTCTTGCCTTTAATGAAATTTAGTTTCTTACATCCACAAAAGCAAAAAGAATGTTTTCCAGCATTGCAACTAATGACAGAATCCATATTTCCTATGTCATGATTTATTCAATTATATTATATCAATTTCCATGAAATTTGAGTTATAAGAAAAATATTTACTTTCAATTCTTTTTGCATGCAATTTGTGAAATTGTATAACCCCACTTTCTTATATTAAAGTGGAGGTATACCAATTTATCATAAGCAATAAAGTTAACTTTTCAGGCTTCAGCAGACTCAAACATATCACCAACAGCAGCAGTGATTCAAACATCAGTGACAACATGCTGCTGCCTAATGAATCACCACCATTTGCTGTCCTGCAGAGTGGAAGGATACATGCCTTTAGGTATATTGTATCTCCGTTTGCTTCTACTAATATTGCAAAACGATTTTAACTATTTTATTTAAAATGAAATTTTCCTATACTTTGTGTTGTTCAGGAACACGATATCAGCAAAGCCAAGGTTACTCTTCTAAAACACTGGTATGAAGATGATAAAGATTGACAGTGTTTAACATAGCCTACATTCTTTTTGTTAAGGTTGCTAAAAATTTCCTTATGATCCAGAGGAGGAATGCTGAAAGTTGATTGACCTATCATTAATGAAGGAGGGGCAAAATCAGAAAATCTACATTCCAATTGTACATAAATCAGGTATGTCAAGTTAAGGTTAAAGTAACTTTGTCTCATTGTAGATTTTCAGATGGTTTAAAATTGGATCAGTACTGTTTGGATGCTTATATCTGATCCATCATTGCAAAATTATTAAACCATGCAGAATATGGCCTGGTAAGTGGTAATTAAATACTGATATGATTGTTTATTTAACTTTTGTTAATATGAAAGAAATGGTAATAATAATGATCAGCATCTCAAATTTTAGTTTACTAGTGTTCATTCATGTTATCTGCAGTCTATTACTCTATTATGTCATGCATTGTAAGTGTACTAACTCAAGTCTAGATCAGGTAGTTAAAAGAATCTTATTCTTGTACTCTATAAATTGAGGTATTTAGCAAAAACAACAGAAAGTCTAACTATTAAATGTTTCTTATGCATAAAAACTACAGGAATTTTCAAGGTTCGTTTTGCCAAAAATCATGGTACTAAATTAATATTCTTGGACCTCCCACATTGGTCTTTCCTTCAGACAAATGAAAGGGATAAAATAATTAAGGAATGGAGAGTTTGGCTAATTGTCCAAAAGTTTTGCTGTCATCTTGATTGCGGAAAGATGTATTCTTTCTGTCATGGAGCATATTTGGTTTAATGTCTAGTTATTGGCACTTGCAGATTGTATGTATCACAATTTGATTGGTTTCTAGCCTCACTTTTTGCCAACCTGTGGGAAAGATTAGTAGTCCTCACAATAAGGCAGAAGAAAAGGAACTAAAGTTAGATCTTATGCAACTATAGTACTAAAAATTAGCTATATAATTATAAACTCTTGTTAGTTCCTCATTGTGGTAACTAATGGATATTAACAACCTTGTAGAATTATTCAGGTCTGTTTTCAGTTAGTGACATTTAGCAATATATTATTACATAGAATGGTACTTAATGTTGGTTTCATTTCCAAGTGATACAGGCTTGTGCTTCTGCTGCTGCAATGGAGGAAAGTATGGAGGGGCAGACAGCAAGAATTTGCACAATGCCGGAATATTATTTCTGATCAGAGGTTTTGTAATTCAGTTCTGCAGTACTGAGTTTGTCATCGCCACTATTAGTGCTTTTATCAACCTCAGGAGTCTTCAAATCCTGAAAAGTGATTGTTTTAAAAGGTTCTATTAACAGCAATATTAGTAATACTGCTATCTGCAACACATGGTAATTATGATGTTTCCTTTCCAGGTTTCTGTCTGAAGCGCTAAATTATGTTTTTGATATAACCTTGTACTATTTCAACCTTCCTGAAATCAAAGTTTGAAGTATTCTTCAACTCATATCAGGCTTGTCCGGTGTGTTTGTTGTTCAATCAGTAAATTTAACTGAAAAATTGAAGGTGTTGATAAGTTCAGCTCTTCCAACACATGATTTCTGTTTGTCCTGCATAGGTGTAGCTCAAAGAATTATAAGATGAATGATTGAAATATTGCTTCTAAATTTCCATGCACTTTATTATTATTATTTTTTTATGGCAATACATTTGCCTCTTCTAATTTGAGTAAGATGATTTTTGCAGAAGTGCAATGAATGCCTAGAATCATATTCAATATTATTTGAATCAACCTGGCGGAATTTGAATATAATTATCTTTGAGAATAGATATTCCCTGTTCATGATGACCACAGTAATAAAAAGAATTAGACATTAAGAACATATAGTAACAAAAAAACTCCTAAAGTCTTTCTTGGCTAATGACAATCTTTCCCTCTATCAGTTTCTTGTCGACGGTGTACATGACTTAGGAAATGCTTGGAAATGTGCCTTCTAGTTCAAACAAAATTGAATTTATAATGTTTTAAGGTGGGAATTATTTTCTACTGTCATCTACTTCTTTCTTCCTGTACTTTCTGGGGCAAGGAGCCTGATATCTTAAATCTGAAATTGCGGTTTAGTGGAGGTCAAAGACATAGTCTCTGGGCATTGCATCATGAGCAGGCTTTAAAATGTGATTAAAAACATTATATCATTGCAGCTTGCTCATCGCTCAAACTTTTGCATGTAAAAATGACCACTAGATATTCCAGAGCTTCATAGGCTTTTAGTCTTTTCAAGTTATGATTTGCATCTCATTTATGTTCATAGTCAATGCATTCATTTCATTTCATTACGGTATATTTTCGGCTGTCCACAAGATACCTATATGAATCATCAGTAATTGGACTTAATGGAGTTCTGCAGCTCCAGTAATCGCAAACAAGATTTTTACCGTTGTTTATTGCTACTTTTTCACTCTGCCTTTGCACAAAAAGCATCGACAATTTGAATTACTATGAATTTGTTTTCCTACTGAAACTTCAACCTGATACTTTGACTTTGCCTTACAGGACAAAACCACATATGAACCAGGAAGTTCTTCAGGCAGCATCTCCTTTCATAAAAGGGAACTCTAATGATACCAAAGAACCATAATCATTTGTGCATAAAGGACATGATATTGAAGGCTAACATTGCTTTCCCGAATCCCTTACTAATTGGTTTGATAAGGAACTGCAATGCTTAAAATCATAGTGCTGACTTTTTATGGTATCGGGAGTTATTTGGTCACTGAATGTGTTCTTGCAATACATTCATGACTGGTCACTTCACATCATCTGCCTCTGGCATTTTCTTCATTCAAAAGTCTGGAGATGAAGAAGGTTCTGTATCATCGTGTCATGACTTGTATTTGGCATCTCGAAAAATAGGTATCCATTGTGCCATTGCCTTTATTTGCGCAAAATTTGAGAGGCATGCCTTATTGGCAAGTGCCATCAGTTTTCACTGCTAAATCTTTATGATTTGGAATTTAATTCTCTATCAAAAAGTGAAATAATAGCCAAGAATTGTCATGGGTTCAAAAAAAAACGGAGCTAATGACATCGTTAATTCTCTATTTTTAAACATGGATGAATCTTCGCTGCTACAGATGGCATTTTGAGAGCTCAATTTTTATGATTTTATTAAGGGCTAGAAAACTTTCAGGAGCATAGAATGCCAGGACTTCTGAGAACATTTATTTTAGTTGTGTAAATCTTTATTATTAATGCTTACCTCCATCCCATTAACTGTAATCAATAACTTTTGTCCACAAATTTTCTCAAATGGACAAAATCGAAAATTTTACATCCTGGTTTTAAAAAATAATAATATGTTAAACCTTGAAACGAGTTTAAAAAATATTGGTAAAAGGGGAACAAAAAAGTGAAGATTCGAACCTGAACTCTTTAATTCAAATAATAAAGACGAAACAAGCCTAAATTTTTTTGTATATGTGTAAGCAAAGGTAATGACAAAAAAATATGAGGGGTTTGTTTTTGATATATTGATAGTTTAATTTTTTTAATTTTATAAAAGGAGTTTAAAAAATTATCATATATTTTATTTTTTTAATTATTATTTTTATTATATTTTAAAAATATCTATCACCTTATTGATTTTGACAATAAAATTGAAAACTCTACCGATAGACGTGATAATTTATCAAATACCAGACTAGACAAAATCAAGGTTCAACATAAGCCAAGGAAAAGGTACATAAAAATTACTACTTTATTAAACTGAAATTTCTTGACAACTCAGCGTGAAATGGTCTTAGTTTTGTTGCCGACTGACCCGTGACATGGTACGGCCTAGCTGTTAAACTGTCATCAACCCAATATGATAAAAGACAAAATAAAATGAGATAACAGAAGAAAGCCCGTGACTAAGACTTACAAATTCAAAAGCTACAAAAAATTTTACTTTAGAATATTTTTTGGTCTCATATATTCTTTTCCCAAGAGTTTAGGTACAGAGCTCACGTGCCACGCCCAACCTCGAATTGGGCACATCGAAAAGTACCCTATGGTTCTGTTGCTGCATATTGGCTATCACATTCAGCACTGAGTTGACATTGTCTGGTGCTGATGCCATTGCTAAACATGTGATGCTGCCTGCTGTGCTGTGGATTAGTAGGTTTTCTTCTGGCAGTGTCACGTTCATTCCAGCGAACATGAACGTCATTGTCGGCGCCACGATCGGGACCGTATAGCATGTATCGAAACCGCCAAGAGATGTCACGTTGGCTACATTAACTCGTCTCCGGAACTCGTCTCGGATGGCTACGTATACTGGTGCTACTAGTCGCGTGAAGACCGTTCCTACGTTTAATACTCAAGTTTAGTGATTCTTAGACGGCAAATAAGTACATGTACATGTAATTAACAATTGGGTTTATTTTAAATGAAGTTTTAGTTAATATTCTTGAAATTTTATTTAAAGGATCAAAATAATTAAATTACAAAAGCTTCTTCTAAACCCTAAATAAATCATATATAAAATAAAATATTACTAATAATGAATTTAAATCGATTAATTTATATAATATTTTTAAAAAAATAATATTTAATAAATCTAAAATTACATCCTGCAGTTGCTTAAAATTTGCAACAAAAAACCTATCTAGATATTGCCTATTGAATAGTATTTGCAATTAAAACACACTAATGCATTTGTTGTCATTACTATGTCTTCAACATTAGAGACACCTTGGTATGCCGCAAAAAGTTTATAAAAAAAAAAAAAAACTCCAAAATAAAGATTGGCTCATGCCCATATCTTAATTATGTGACATCAAAATGTTCTTCGTGTTTTAAACTATGATGCATTTACTTTACTTTTTTTTTGTTTTTTGAGATAGCATTTACTTTATTTTTGGGTCTCCTAACTATTTAATTTTCCAAAACAAAACAATGGACCAAAAGAGTAACCTTAAAAACAACAAATATTTCAAAGAAGTATATTTGGTTTAAAAAAAAATGAAAAGTGAAGCATAAAATTTTTTTAGTCTGAAGTTAACATTTGTATGGTTGAAATTCGCAATAACATTTGTTATTTTGTATCTCAATCATTAGATTAATTAATTTGCTATCAAATGGAGGTTAAGGAAACGTTAATTACCAGAATCAATAATGGTACCAGCACCAGTGGTAGGATCGAAAGCAATTGCACTTGGTGGGAGATCAACAATTTTCCTTCCAACTCTAATCCCAATCAGATTCACAAAGTAAAGTGATGGTCTTCTAGGATTTCTAAGCAATGGGGTGAACTTGATCCTCAATGGCTGCCCAACTGGCCCAAGTCTCAAAGACCCAGAAAAATTAAGTGACTTAAAGCTAGGCAAGCAGTATGAAAATGTTGATTGGTACAAATCTTGGGTTTGTGAGAGGAATGATAATGGGCCTCGGCCTAAGCCCAACAAGCCCTGTGGTGGAACTGAGTTGCCTGTTGTCTTTTGGAGACAACCAAAAGTGTAGCTTGGTACAAGGTCAATGGCTAAGGTGAGTGTATCTTGTGAAAGGTTTGCTGCTATGGTTGAACCGCCGTAGGTCATGTTGAAAATACACGCGCTGCCATCGCAGGTGGGGTTTGGTACCTGAAATGATCGCATGAAGCGGGTGTTCAAATATACTATATTTTATACTATTAGCTCATAAATTTAGCCAAGAAATGACAAAATGCTTATCCATATTTTCACAAAATATATGTTATCACAGGTTTAGTTTAGTTAGCAGTCTTTCTCACGCGCCTGCCAAGCGAGTGGCAAGCATTAAGTAGTGAAAATTGTGAATTGTTAAGAAATGAAGCATTATCATTGTTACCTGCTGGCACTGAGCTGCTTGGCAGTCAAGGGTCTTGAATGTGGTGGATTTAGCGTTGTCAAAAACAGTAGAAGAGCAGCCGAGGCAGCCTGAGCAAGGTATCCAAGCAGCATCATTGCTATTATCCATGGCCATAAGCATAGTCTGAGGTGGAGTTCCAATTTTGGCCCTGACAATGTAAGTTGGACTTTGTATAATCTGCCTGCCCGAAGCTATTGGCACCACAGATTTCTTAGCCACCAGACTCGACAAGTATTGCAGCCTGGCCTGGTCCTTGGCTTGCATTTGTAGTACATCCTCTTCCCATGAAAGTGGCTTTGAGGGTTTGAAGGGTGAGCATGGACCGTAAATGTGGAACACTCGGAGGTTTGAGCCATGGTCTTGGATGTCACACTTGGGGTTCAGACCTTGGGCTAGGGAAAAGAAGAGGAAAACTAAAGAAAATATATGGGTTTTCATTGTTTTGTAGGAAAATTATAGTTTTCTTTAATGGTTTAGGAACTGAGTGATTGTGTGGGGAGTGAGCGTATATATACACAAGTGGGGAAGTCTGTTGAGTGGAGTGCAGTGGAGTGACATGTTTGGTGGGTTGTTTTTGCTAACAGGCTGTATTCCATATGCTTTTGAAGGCTGGACCTCTCATCATTCTTTGTCCAATTCTACCTAGAAATAGTATCTAATCTACTGGTACTGTTTCCATTTTCATATTTTCATTTTTTTTTTATATATCGGCAAAAAAAAAAATTAGGTACAAACAAAATTTAAAAAATAAAAAATCTACATTTTAACTTAATTAATTCAAAGTAATCACATCCAACCGAATCCACAAGAAAACATTTAAAAAAAGTCACCGAGAGAAAGAGCGATTTAAAGCATGATTTAGGAGAAGCTCTACTGGAAAATCTATACAAAAAATTGTACATTATGGGATGAAGTATATAGTTCATGGGGGATTGAACAAATCTCAAGATATGCTCTTTGAACAGTGCAAAGTAAACTTTGGGTTTTTCTTTTTTTCTCTTCTGTCTGTCTGCTAATCAATTATTGCATGCCAATTTAATAGAAAAATTAAGGGATCTGATTGCCACTTTAAAAGCAGCAAAAAGTGGCTTTTGTAATATCATAACTATTTTAATGTTGATAAAACAATAATTGAGTTCCTTGAGAATGATTTGGTACGTAGTATCCTTTTCTTATATCTAGCTAACATAAGGGAGGAAACTTGGGGCGCAATTGAGGGGATGCAAACAACAAAACTCAGTAAATAGATGCAGATAAATTGTAGATCAAGATTGTGAAACTGGAACTCTGGTTTAACTTTAATTTATGCTATTCCTTCATATCCTTATACTGTAGTAAATAAATTTAAAAAATAATTAAAAAATGAGTTATGTGGCAGCTTCGTAATTTTACTTGTGAAATCAATGAATCAAAAACCGAACTCGGAAAATAGATACGTAGATAACTTATATAAAAAAAAAAGATGCGCAGTTAAAGCAAAATGGATATGTAGTTGTCAAAGTTTTGCCTTGGTGCTCAGGCTGCTGAGTTTTCTATATCATGTTTTCAGCCTAACTATTTCACATCATGATGGTGAAAGAGTCATTTCATTACCCTACCCAATGCCCTGGCATGGTAGGCATTTTGGTGGAGAGCTGAACATGAACTCCCATTTCCTTTGGGAGCAAAGGCCTTGCTACTTGCTATTGATACCTTTGAACCTAAACCTAGGTTAATTTGGTCAAAACATACCTCTTTCTATTGACAATTTTAGTATGTTCAAGAACGGGACGAGATTTTTTTAATAAAATGAGACAGAAATTATCTATCAGCGTAGAATTTAGAACGAGTTTTGGAAACAAAACATTAAAACAGTACAAAGAGCATAACTAATAATAACAATGATTTTTGTTTTTTTTTACATAGATTTTGGACCTAAGTAAAAACAATGTCTGTCTCACTCACATTCAGTCAAAATTGCACAATTGAAATATTCTGTTGAAGATGAGCACCCTTTGAGTATATTAGTAATTAATTAAATAGTGCTATATGATAAATTAGATGTATTAAGCAATCATGATCATACCGATGACCGACAAGGATTTACATTATTTTATAATGGAAACCAAGGGGGCGGGGGCACTTAGATGTCTATTTTATAATTTATTTGCTTTAATGTGATAATTTTTTTTAAATTTAAAGCAAGATCTTGATTTTAAAAAGTGGAAATTGAAGCAATTATATTGGAAAGATACATAGTGGAGGGAGAAAAAGCTGATTTGCTTTTGTGGGCTGTTAGTATCATGGGGAACGTATATATCCGTCTTTTTTTTTAATATAAGAAGTTATAATTTAAAAGTAAAAAGAATGCAGATTTTAAAATTTAAAATTTAAAATTATTAGGTATTAATTTTTAAAATAATTATATAAATCAATTGAATTAAAATTTAAATTTTTATGTCCATTCATCTTTTATTCACATTGATTTTTTCTTTTTTACATAGCCTAAATGATCCCCAAATTACTCAAATGCTTTTTACAAATCATAGTTCATTATTCATGAAAGTAAGTCTGATGAAATGCATGAGTGTGAATACTTAATTTTGTTCGAATCAATTCGAATTTGTTCAATTTTTATATTTAAATTGATTTGACCTATTCGAATTTTGATTCGGGTTGGCCAATTTAAGAATTTTTTTGTGTGAGCTTAAGTCTAATTCGGTTATCAGGTCAATATTGAATTCAGATTGGAGAGCCTAATTTGAAGGTCCAAAGCCCTGCTAAAGTCATTAGAGTTTGAAGGCCCATAAGTCCAAATTTTGATCTTTGATTATGGATCCCAAATTATTTACTTTTATGAGTAATTTGATTTCTTAATTAATTAAAAATAACAAAAATCAATTAATCAAATACCATAATATATATATATATATATAATTTGACTTTTCAAGTTTTCTTTTTTTTCCCCTTTCATTTTGCCCTAATTCCCCTTTTATCCAATTTCGTCCAATTTTCTCCATTTTCCCAACATCCCAAAATCAACATTGCTAAATTCTCTCTCCAGCTATCCTTTATATTTCCCCCCATATTTTACCTCTTTTCACTTTCAACATGAACTGGGGAAAAGGCATTTATTCCCAATTGTAGTAGGCTACACCACCCCAAAATGTAGTAATCCCATTGCTTCAACCGGCATTAGTCCCATAGGGATTTAATTCCTTTATGCCTCCATGAGCACTTAGATCTTAAAAAAAAAAAAACCCCAAACTTTTTTTTTTTTTAAAGAGAAAAGATGGCTTTCATAACAACCACAATGACCACCCATTGTCTTTTCTTTTGACCATTTTTCATTCAACCCTAAACACAGACATTACCTAAGCCTTAGACCTTTGCACTTTTAGCCACTACCCATCCCACCTTGTATGCCAGAACCACCATACCCCAACACCACTAGTGCCAAGCACTCAGGCATGCATCCAGCACCCAATCCCTAATACCACCAATGCCAACAACTCAAATAGCCAACTTTAAGCACCATCGGCCTTCATACCAGCACTATACCCACCTTATTACCAGGCACCATCACAGTCCTTACACACATCACAGCACCCTAGCCCTACAAACCTCATAAAAAAAATATTAACTTTAACCCTAGCCCAGCCACCTTCACCCAATCTTTGCATACGCCCACACTAGCACCCCAGCCTCCCATTGTCAAATCCCACTACCACCCTAGACTTAACCACCCAAAAGAGACCTAAGCTTCAAACAAAAAAAAATAAAGAACCATAGTCCCCACTGATCTGGTGAGTAACCCAATGCCAAGCATAATCTAGTAAAAAAAAAAAGGTTAAATTTTTTTTTCTTGAAATAAAACATAAAAAAAGGGAGAGAAAGAGGTGCCATTATTCATGGAGGTATGGGAGCGACGTCACAGCAGCAAGGTATGGTTGGAGATACCAAAGGCTAAACAACGGAGGTGACTTCTATTGGAAGATCAGGGATAGTGTAAGCGAAAGTGAATGAGGGATGAACAACATATTAAAAGATCAAAGGGATTGGATAGTGAGATTTTGATTTTGGGGTATTTAAAGTCTCAAGCTTCAATTGCAAATCTAAGGGATTGGGAGCTGATTTGTGAAAAACTGATGTTGGATCTGTGAAGAAAGGAAGAAAAAGAGTTTGTGGGCCTTTTTTGGAAGTCGAAAGACCACCAACTAGTGATAGCATTGATGACGATGATGTGGTGGCGATGATTTCCTTGGCCAAAATCTAGATAGCATATGGGTTTTTAAAAGAAAAAAGAAAAAACTTTTTTTCTGAAATGGTGTAAAATGAATTGAAAAATAAAATCTTGATATTTAGATTGCTTAAAAAAAAGATAAAAATAAAAACGACATCATTTCAAGGGTTGCAGATCTACATGTCAACTCAAGATATGGTTAATCAACCCATTGATCCCTCTTTTTTAAGCTAAATTGGCTTGAACCGGCTCTAACCAGTCTAATCCACTGCAAACCACGTTGGACCACTTAAAATCGACAAAATTGCTCCAAACTGACTGAAAGTGTTGAATTAGTCACTAGTCCACTGACAACTTTGACCAATGGGCATTTTCAGTTTTTTTTGTATTTTTTTATTTTTCGGCATTGTCTTGCTCATTTTTTAGATATTTCTATTATTTTTGTTTCTGATTTTTTATACTATATTTTATATATTTTTGTGTGTGATTTTTTTTATAAAGAAATAAAATAAATTAAAAATGCTTAAGAAAAATAAAAGTTTTAGATTAATTATTATTGTTATTACTATTTTTTAAATTAATCATAAAAGATAATTTAGACAAAGGTTGTGTCACCATCCTCTAAAATATTCCTAAAAATAAGAATCATGAAAAAAAATGAAAAGCTAAAAATAATAATAGATAATAAATAAAAATGAAATTAAAGATAATAGTAAAATTTCTTTCACGTTTTTTTTTTAAATAAGGATGGTGAAAATAAATAAATAAATAAATACATAATAAAAATGATAATGAAAATAGAATAATAAAAAAGATTTTTTTTCCCAGCCTAGATGATAGAGGGAATAAAAATCATTTTTAAAAATGATAATAATAAGTAATTCCGCCTAAATGCTGGAATAATTATTAAATAATAAGAATAAAAACAAATACATAATAATAATAATAATAATAATAATAATAATAATAATAATAATAATAAATGTTTATGAAAAAGAAACAATAAAAAAAAATTTTATCTAATTTTTGGTAATCATAAAAAACAAGCTTGCTTCGAAAGTCTACCTAAATTTTGAAGATTTTTAAAGATGTTCATATTTTTTTTAAATCCAAAACCTTAAAAATCAAAATTTCGTAACCAAAAAATTTCATAACCCTAAAATTCAAACTCTCAAAAATTTTGAAACCTCAAAATTGAGAAGCTCTAAAATCAAAACCCTAAACCTTTGAAACCTT